ATAGAACACTTAGCAAATAATATCAAAGAGAAATTATCAGAGAAACAAACTCATTCCCTTCAACTGCGCAAAGAGACTGAGGAGCAGCAGCCGAAATTAGAGCGCGTGACTAAGCAGGTAATTTCTTAGAGCTGTCCCTAGCATTCACTTCTGTCATGTACCAAATGCACTCATCCCCCTTTCCTGAACTTGGTGGAATTTAGGTTTAATATTTGACTGTTATTATTAACAGTGTCGAAGACTCAAAAGAGAAATCCGCATTGTGAAAGACACGGATGACGAAACACTAGAAGAGCAAGACATTCAACTCCGTGAGATTAAACAGTTTCACAAGGACATTGACCAAATGTTAGTCAATGCCATGGAAAATGCTGAAATGCACATCATCCTTCAAACATACTTTGAGCAGGTAATAGAGCATATGTCTGTGTATCTAATTAGTTTTCTTCTACAATGTTGCAGGACTAATGATAGTTTATTATTACAATATGATATTCTTCCAGAATGGGTTAGAACTACCCACAGTTAAAGGCCCAAGCTCCAGATCCTCTTCACAGTCTTCCCTGCGGTCAATCAGGTAAGGGCAAGCTTACTCAAGTGGGGTTCAACTCTCAGGGCTGCTGCTGACCAGCATGCTGTTCACTCTCCTCACCTCAGCAACCCCACTATACAAGCAGCCTAGCAAGACTCCTGCACCTGTCGACACTGCAGGCACACTCACTGAAACTAGGAAGCTATTTTAGGGGAACGAGGGTGGGTGAAAGTTGAGGTGATATAGCTAACATTTTGGGCAAATTCTGAGAAAATTTAAATCTTCTGAAACTGTAAAAGGGCAAGTTAGACACACAGTTTTGTAATCAGAGCTGCTCATGTGAAATCCTATGTAATCAGCTTTTATTTGTGGTTGTCTTACTTAGCTTAATGCAACCCAGAAATTAGTGGGATAAATCATGGACACTAAGTCTTTGTTGACTTTTAGCTAATTTTAGGATTTCTAATCTCCTACAGTTGACAGCTATTTACTAGTTTTTGTCTGTGAAACTTTCATGAAAAATAAAAAAAGCATCCTCAGACAGTTTAATAACCTGCTTCTACATATTTTAATCACTCAATATATTTACTATTACATATTAAATTTTCTGTACTTTTTATAAAACATTACTTTAGAACCAAATTATTTACTATTACACATTAAATTTTCTGTACTGAAACTTTTTAGTTTAGAAACTGATTACGGTTGAAAATAACTTGCTCACAGAAACAATTATTGAACTATTTACTTAAACTATGTTCATTTCTTCTTTTGGAAGAATGGTCATACTTTTAAATTTTATTAACACTAATGGTTTTTCTTGTTCTTTACTTATGGAATTATGATACTTTTTGCCAATTAGATCTTTTAAAAGTACATTTTGCATTAAGTTTACAGTAAATCCTTTCTTGTTTTAGGTCGCTTGAGGACACAGTTTCTCCTGTTTCTCCACCTTCAGTTAAAGTATTACAGCTCAGCTTCCCAGAATCTCCAACAGGAAGCAGTAGTTCTAGGTCAGCTAGTAATGGCAGTAATTCAAGTACTCCAAAAGGAAAAAAGCCCAGCAAATGATTTTTTTTAATCTCTTGTACAAATTTTGAACACAAATGAAAATCTCATTAAGTCTTCCTTTTTCTGGGGTTCCATTTATTAACGATATAGGCCTACTAAAATAGTATTGGAAGTACTGCAGACCAGACAAAGGAGCCCTCTCCCCCCCCCATAGAGAAGGAAACTGCAGAACCTAAGGCAGGCCACACGTGATTAAGCAGAGGGAAATCAGTTTTGTTTTGTTTTGTTGTTTTGTTTTTTTACTAGAACACTGATGTCTATAGTGTTAGATGTTTTATGAAGTAACACATATATGAAGTAAGATTCTTTCAGGAATACACTTCTAAAGAGTCACTGCATATCTCAATAAGGAAATTTTCATTTACTCTAAATCACAAAATTACTTTTTAAAATTAAAAACAAAAAGCAAACAACAACAATATTCCCCCATTCTTTTTCCCGAGGGTAAGGGTAACACACATACCTGTTAAAGGCCTTTTATTGCGGGGGTGGGATGGGGAGGGTGGGGTGGGTGGTGGTTTTAATTTGTAACGAAAGACAGCATCATTAACATTGTACTCCCTCGGTAGGAAAAGCATTGTATATGTATATATGTGTGTGTCCATATATACTCATCCCTATATATGTATACATAAAGTACAACTTGAGTTGCTGTCCCTATTCTGATCCTGAAAAAACTGAACATATTAAATTTACAATGGAGGTAGATATTGCATATTGTATTTAAAATTAGTTTTTCCAGCACTTTGAACTTTTTGGATGAGAGTGTGAACTACTACTATAAAGCTAGATTTAAATACATTAGCATTCAGGTAGATAAAGGAGCATATCTTTAAACCTTGGGGAAAATACTCATTACAAGAGTGATTGTCTTAGACCCACTACTCAGTTACTACTGAAAAAGCAGTAGTGTTAGTAAATCTGTTTCTACTGATGATCGCTTTTAATTCAGACCAGGAAGGTATAGTTAAGTCTAATAACTGAAATGGCAAAGAAAATTGTGGGCACTTTATAGTTGAATGCTGCCAAAAATGTATGACGTTTAATCCATCATTTTGTTTACCAATATTGGGATTCTCAGTCATATATTACTTTGTAAGTTACTAGGAACTTAAAACATTCAACTTGGCGTTATACGAAGGCAAGGGTTTTGTTTCTTACTAGGAAGCTTACTTTTTCTATGCTTTTTTCCTTGTAATACAAGGATGGTTAACTTATCAGGTCTTACTGAAGTAACGTAAGATATAAGCAAAACATACTGGTCTTGAAGCATAGTAATTGTACTTTAAGTAGTTAATTTCTACCTATGGAGTTACTTCTAGCCCCTAGTCTGCAATGCCCAGCATCCACGTTTACATTACTAAAACCGCATATAATAATGCTAAATGGCAAGACAAAGGATCAACCTGTTTACAGATCTGGAGTTATTTTAACACCCAGAAGTCACAGGACAAAGCTAACTGGGGCAAATATACACTATGGACATAGTAATGTGAAAAAAAAACTACTGAAGCCACCACTGAGGATGAATTAAAATCCGCAATATTTTTTCCTGGGATGACTCCTTAAATAACCCAAGGAACTGGATGCTTAGATTAGTGCAGACTGCTTAAATTAGTATGTCTTTTCCTATTAAGAAAGATGTAATCCTATTAGGAAGCCTGTAGTTTCCAAATTCTGACAGCCTACTCCACAAGGCACTCTCCTAAGGGTTAAGTAAGATATTACGTGTAAGAGTATAAGGTGTACTAGGAATTCTCAAAGATAAAGTGGCGTGCAGGGAGGTGTTTCCACTTTTTAACAACAACAACAAACCCCCACTATGGAAGACTAGGTAGGACTAAAACTGGAACGATTACTACATTGAGCACGCCTAAGAGTTCCTCGGGGCTGGGCTGTCAAAATGGCTGTGTGGATAGAGTACTGTCTGTCAAGCCCAAGTGTGATTCCTGGGACCCATGAGGTAGAAGAGAACTGACTCCCTCAAGTTGTCCTCCCATCTCCACATATGTAGCACTCATGCTCACTGTTTTCCCTGCCCAATAATAGTGATAATGAGTTCCTTGGTACAGAAACTAATATTGAAGTGATTCTCCAATTTCTGCTGCCATTATTTATTGTTCTTAATCAAGGTTTTTCCTATTGTGTTTTTACAGTCGTTTTCTATCACTATAATTTGGTACAAATAGTATATATCATTATTTTACTGGTATTTTATTGGTATAAACAAACATGCAATGAGTCCTCTTTTCCTGCCACTCCCTCATCTTCCTCATGTATGTCTGTGGTGTGCTGTGGATAATACTCTTGTACACTGTAAAGATTTGTCTCATATTGGATTAATAAAACTCTGACTGGCCAGGCAAAAAGTATAGGCGGGACATCCAGAAGCAGAAGAAGCACCATGAGAATGCTTGAGAAGAGGTACCAAACTACATGGCTAAACACGTGTAAGAATTATGGGATAATTTTAAGTTATAAGAGCTAGAAGTAATAAGCCTAGGCAATAAGATACACAGTTTATAATTAATGTAAGACTCTGTGTGTTTCTTTGGGACTGAACGGCTGCAGGATTGGGCAGGACAGAAACTACCATCTATAGTTGTGGATCCTATCCAATGACCAAGAAGAGATTAAAAGCTCATTGCCATTTACTTATTCTTCTTTTTCCTGTGTAGCTTTGGTGCCTGTCCTGGAAGTAGCTCTGCTCTTGTAGACCAGGCTGACCTTGATTGAACTCACAGAGGGCTGGGATTAAAGGCATGTATCACCACCACCTGGTGCTTATTTATACTTTCTAGAAGGTTAACTGAAGAGCATCATAAGTACAACAGCTATGATACCTACTAATATCTCCCAAGAGTCCACTATTCAATTTTTAGCAATTCAGAAATGTTCTCTGGCAGTCTAAGATTCCTTTGTTAGCTGTTTGTGTGTACTGTGTTTGTGTATGGCTGTCAGAGGACACGTATTGGGAGTCAATTCTCTCCCTAGGCCTTGAGTCTTAGGATTGCACTCAGGTCATCAGTTTGGATAGTCTTTTATCTACTGACCCATTGCAGAGGCCTGGAACTGATTCTGTCCTTCGCTATGATTCAGAGAAAAGACATCAACAGAGAAGGTAATAGAGTAGAAGAAGAGGGAACTTCAAGCCAGCCCTCCACTATTTAGAAACATGCCTACTGACTTCCCAAGCATTTGCGAGGTTAAGACAGAAGGCGACCAGATTCACAGGGTGCTTCTCTGCTGCTATTTTTACTAGCAGTTATTTCCTATTCTCATCTGTCTTGTCTATAATTCCCTAAGAATTTTGTAAATACGTAAAGTTAAATTTTTTCTTATGAACATAGCCATTAAGTAAAAATAATAACGGAGAAATAAGTAGAGCAGGCTCTGATTAACCAACTTTCATGGTCTTATTCTTAAGGTATTTTGTTAAAGCTGGGAAAAAACAATTTTCACAAACCATTTACATCGGGTATTAGAGGTAAATCAAGTAATAATTTATCACTTAAAAATGAAATGGTGCAAAAATTTTAATGCTTAAAACAAATGACTTAAAATAGTACCGTTGAAACATTTAGCCATAAAATATTTCCCCTCAGAAGCTAAGGGCTTTTTAACAAAAGAGAATAAAGTACTTTTTGATAAAACAATCCAACTCTTCAACGTAAACATATTTCTCTCCAACAGCGAAATATGATAGGCACAGGGTTCTCACAAACCCCAAACATGAAGAAACAAAGTGCTCAGAAACAGCTTTAGGAGAAAAGCTTAACCTGCCAGAATGAGTTACGTCTGCACAGACCCACACTCCTGCATCACTGACTATGACGAAGGGCTGATAACTGAAACTGAGAAACTTCTTGTAATTTGCTACAATTTTAGATCCAGAACCGTTTTAGATTAGAGCATCCCCAAACTTCTAAAAACAGTGAAAATTTTCTAAGCAAATTATTTTTTTGGCTTATTTCCTTTTTCTTTCTCAAATTCTGCTATCTGATTAAATATATTGAGTAAATTCTGAGGTAAATTTTTCTTAACTCTGTTTTCTGGTTGCTCTCTGCTATTCAGTGTCTCTTCTGGAGCCTCAGTTTTGTCACCCTCCCCATAGCCGTCCTCCTTTTCATATGCACGTTCTCCCTGATTTGTATTTAACTGATATCTTGGCTCATGTCTACTGTCACGTGATCCAGAGTAAGTGTATTTTTTGTGTTTTTCAAGTGACTTCCAAGAGTAGTCTGAACTTGCTGGTGAAGTAGAGTACTTCACAGACCCCGGCTCCCACCTTCTAGAGTGGTCTTTTCTTCCCTCTGAGTCCTTTTCACATCTCCTGTAACTAGATGCTTTCATCTTGTCCTCTGAATTCCTACAGAAGGAATCCAAGGAATTTCTCCTATTGGAGAAATATTTTTCTGATTTATATGGCTTTTCAGTTTTGCTACTACCTGCGTGGGTTTTATAGCTATTGTAGAAATCTTTTGTGTCTTCAGACCTACCTCCCAAGTCATCTGGCACTTCAGCTGAAGATGTGAGAAGGCATCGCTCTTTCTCTTTTACCTGTGTGCTTGGACACTGTAACCTATCCTGTTTTTCCAGCAGTTTCTCCACTTCTTGTTTTTGATTAAGGAAAGATGCTGAAGTATTAGTTGGAACTGGGTAGCAGTCATCTTTCCTATTCTGATCTATGTGACTCAAAGATGTCTTAGACCAGTGCCTCTTTGAACTGCGAGAAGACTCTGAGCGATTCCTCTTACTTTTCTTATGCCGTTTGTGACTAGAAGAGGAAGAAGATGAGGAAGAAGAAACGGATTCATCAGCAGAAGAAACACTTGAAGAGGAAGATGATGATTTTCTTCTTTTCTTCTTTAGCCTTAAAAAAAAAGCAGTTAACTCATGAGACATGTTAAGTACAAAAATGCTATCCAAATATCCTCAAGATCTGACTTTATTCTGTATCCCTTGAAGATGTTCTACAAGCTGTCACTCTGACACAATAATCTCAATTACTGCATTAAGTTTCACCATGAAGCATGACTTCTGAGACTGTCTATGGAGACAAATGTCACTACAGGCAAACCCACTGCTTCTGAAAGATGCAGTGACTTTTCTCCATGGCTTATGCCCTTCTGCACATGTAGGAAGCAACCCGAGTTTCCTATCTAGCTCCCAGTAGTTTCACCACGTTTCCCTCAGCACTATTGACATTTTAGTGTCAAACGATTCTTTACTGAAGGTAGGAGCAGACACTGTCCTGTGCACTGCAGGACATTTAACTATCCTCTACACACTAGATGCTAGTATTTTTCCACAACTTACAATAACTACAGACCAAACCACCAGTCTAGGAACCACAGCTCCTCTTCTAAAAGCCTATATCCCAGGAACAGTAATTTATTCTACATTTTAATCCTAATTTTTAAAAAGAATTCTAAGCTTAGACTCTGCTTAATTTCTTTCGCAGACAGACATGTAGAACATATGCTTGCTAAGAATTATCACTTGAGAAACTTTTTTTTTTTTTACTTACTTTACCTCCATATGGCACTTTGGTTTCAACTCAGTAGTTTCTTTAAGTTTAAAATACTGAATATTATAGTTTACCTTTTCTCCTCTTTTAAGAGCTTACGCAACTTTTCTGCACTTGTTTCTATTTTCTTTGTTTTCTGCTTTTCTTCCTTTTCAGCTTGTTTTTCTCTTAATTCCAAAGATTTCTTTTAGAACCCAGATATCGGAAAAAACCACACGTTAAAAATAAAAGTAGCAGGATACACAAAAAACAGTATTTAAAAGACCACCCCCCAACCAAAAGCCCAATTTAGTATAGACAAATCACCATACAGCCAGTATTAAACAAGTTATTTTTTCCAAATAAAAAATTAATGACAAACATTGGGCATTAATCATTTGAATGGCCAGAACAGTATTGAGGACCATATTGCAGATGGTATCCCAAGAAAAACAGGGAAACCATTGCAGTAGCACCAATGACCCAGAATGCAGGGAAGATAAAAAAAAAGATGAAAAATTATTTTTGAAAATTGAAAAATGTAAACAGGACACAAATTTTACAAATAAAATTCAAATAAGGACATTCCACAGAGGTGAATTGAGGGGAAAAATCACCATGTTCAAATACAAACCATTTTAAAAATAGCACAGGCCAGTTGGATGCATGATTACATAAGAAATCATTTTCCAGTTTGTGGATGGGGATGAGCAGCACCAGATGTCACAGACACAGCAGCAATGGTCCAATTCAGAAGAAAATGCATGAGAAAACATCATCATCAGTATTACAGGAAAGATCAAGTGAAAAATGTCTACAAAGGTTTGCATAATTAGCTCAATTAAACCAGCAATACTCGTAATCTTATAACCACCCAGTAAGCTCTCCACAAACGGGAGCAATCAAAAGCACACACTGAATTTAACCATAAGCATTCTCTTACAGGGTATTTCTACTCCTGAGTACAAACAAAAAAGCAGAAGTATTACAATGCAATGTCAAACCTAGTTAGGAAAAGCTATTCATTTTCCTAATAGTTCATCTAGATAACCTAGTTTTTCCTAAAAGAATATGACATTTTGCATTAATTTTAAGCATCATTAAACTTCAAAGAGGAAATAAAGAATCACCTGCATATACTTATGAAGTTTCTGCAAAGCATCCTCTGCGTCTTTAAAAGTCTCATCCAAAGCCAGAGCTTTCTTATAGTAACTTTCAGCATTTAAAAACTTTTCTTCTTCTTCTAACCTATTAGGAAGATACAATATTTTGTAAAAATTTATCCATGTACATACAAAAGAGGCTTATGACAGAACTCAGAGGAAAATTATTTTTTAATTTCCTACTCATGTGCTTACTTAGTAAAAAGACAACTTACATATGTTTTTTTTTAAAGTGGTTATGAAGTTTTCCTTTCTATGGAAAAGTTGTCACTGGAAATCCATTAACTTTGGGAATTCACACACACAATTGTAGATATCATTTGCAATCATTATCATATAATTTACAAGCCTATGCTGTGAAAAACCCAAATATTAGAATGTTTGGGTGGGTGTGGTGACATACATCTGTTATCCCAGTGCTTGGGAGGCAAAGTGGGAGAAAGTTACCCTGGCTGATATGACCTAAATAGCAAGTTCCAGGTCAGCCAGGGCAAAACAGAAAAAGGAAGTTTGGATATAGGGCATTGAAAGGACTTTACAAAGTACTTCTGTAGGAAGGAAAAAATTATCCCTGCAAAAGAAATGGGATTACTTATTTGTCATAGACTGGATGTAAAGAGCTGAGGGACAAGACTTGTGGTTTGGATAACTAGTTACTGTAGCCATTCGCTCAGCTACAAGATCCCACACTCCAAGAGTAAGACGACCTCATTTCAGTGGTACTACTTATTTACTTGGTGACAATGAAAAATCTTTTCCAGTCACTAACTGAAATCTCATTAATTTGGAATTTGTGGGCATTCTCATTCTACAAACACTTGGAAGGAATGCTCATCCAAGCAAGAATGGCCAGGCAGAAGATATGATATAGACGAGATCAAACGTTCTTCAATAATCAGAGGGCTAGGGATGCAGCTCACTGTCACAGTGCTTGCCTGGCATGTTTGAGATACTCTGGATTCCATTCCCAGTATTACAAAAAGAAAAGCAGCAGATGGTCTTATCAAAACATTTCATGGCTTTTAGTTATTAAGGTGAATGCTGTCTATTTGAACATGGCCATGAATGAAGTTGTGCAAGATTTCTGAGAACTTATGAGGAAACTCCAAGTAAACAAGACAGGACTTCTGTAACCTTGTTCCTCTGTACCAGGGATTGTACATGTGCTTCCATGCCCTTCCCAGGAGTAGTTCATAGGAGTGGGTTTACTTCAGACTTCCTGTTGCCTCTTTTGTTACTGAAAATGTTTTCACACATGGGTTGCCCTAGTGACTGTACACAACCTAAACCCATACAACCCTGCCTATCTCTCAAAATACTCTCAGATTATAAACTGTCTGATCCTCTGAATAAAGCTGGCTCTTGCACGAGACGTTAGTCTGCCTCAATTTTAGGCTCCACTCTCCCAGGTTCAGGCCACCAACCAGAGTGGCAACACTGCCAAATACTTCTAACTCCACATTTAATCTGAATTTGCGGGGTTCACCAGACAGAGCAGAGCTACAAGCTGAATATAACAGCAGAGTCTTAATCACAATTTACTAGAACTGCTCAATTCATATCTACAATATTACATACTATTACAATAAAAAGATTTAGAAATTAAATCTTCATTAGAACAAAATCTTTTGGTATATACTCTGGACTAGAGCACTTATTCTCTTATAATTTTTAATTTATATTTCTATGTATGTAACAAAAACATACTTCAGAGCGATTAACCATGAGTATCTCCAGAGAGACAGACAGACAGACACACACACATACTCCCACTCACCCTCAAAAAGGCAGGAAAAAGGGACCAAAAGGCCACCTGCCCCACCCAAAACTGAAAGAGAGTACTTTGAATTACACGGCACTACAGGAGTTTGTTGCAAGTTGGACTTTTACTATTACTGAATGAAACCCCATACTTACTGCCCTCCCCTTTCTACAAGAGTCTGGCAGAGGTATTTTCTTGCATTCCTGTGAGTTGGGCAGTTTTCTAATGCTAGCTCAAAATCTTCTATTGCTTTGTTCAAACTTCCTTTTGTTGCATATCTAGAGACATTAAACAAAATTAGAAAAAATTAATCTTGTGACCTACTTAGACATTTTTCATATTCTTAAAAATATTCCTTAAAATCCAAAATTAACTTACAATGCTCCACGAGCTACCAGAGCTTCCACATTTTGTTTGTCTATTTCCAGAGCTTTATTGTATTCGTTCATAGCATCCACATGTCGTCCAACCTTAAAATAATCGACCCCAATCTTCACACTGAAAACACATTTATAAAACATTGCAAATAGTTCACAAAGTATCTAATAAATACAATGTTAGTATAGATGATTATTAAAAGAAAATGCCTTTAAATTGGACAAATACTTAGTTTTCAAATTATTCTTGTATACTTAAAAAGCACCCTGCTTTTATAGATTCTCATAGCAAACATTTATGAAACTTAGATATCAAGACACTAATTCTTCCTGGAAAACAATCTGAGTAAAACTTAACTCTGATAGGACGTCAATATTAAGACCAATATAATACCTATACAAATAATGCTCAAAGTTTTCATGCATTTGTAAATACAGTCTAGTTTTAATGGTGATGAAAGAATGCATGCCCGACCAGAACTTTCACACTGGGTAACTGCCACTTTTAGACAAAACAACCTCCATACCATTTTAAAGCCCAAGATGCTGACTGCTTCTTTCTTAAAGCCAAAGCAAAATCATCTTCAGAGAAATTTTTGCTGTGAATGAATGAAAAAGCGAGTCAATAAACACTGTAAAAGTACAGTTCATTCTCTCTCTGATACAGACTCAACAGTGACATGGTGACTGCTGCTGGTCCTAGTTCTGCTCTGAAGCACATCCACAAGCTTCTGGACCTTCTCTACTTGTCTATGGCACATCCTGTCATTGCTTAGGCCAGACCAGGAGCAGACACAATTGCTTACTTTAGCCAATCTTCGGCAAATATGTTCTGCAGCTATTCAGCTTCTGAGCTAATCCATTCCCCTTACCACTTAAGAGAATGCAGTTCTACTTTTACCTTTGTAGGCCTCTCATTAATGATGGTGGATGAGATTCATCTATTCCTAGTTTCTCTAGAAGGAATTCAACTACTCCTGGATTAACAAATCCCAGAGAACTCTGCATGATATTTTCATAGGACTCCAAAGAATTACTATTTAGTTCAACACTCCTCCTTAAGGGGAAAAAAATGAGAAACACAAACACATGAGCATAACAATTAGCAAAGCCTGCTTCTACTAAAGACATTACTATAATGAGGTTTAAATACTAATATTTTTGTACACCAAGCCTACAATAATGGGGTTTATAAAAACAAAACCCCACTTAACAATAAAAAAAAAATTATAGTTATACTTTGTTAGGGGTACATAAAAGATAAATACCTGTAGTACAAAGGTAGCTCTTCAGAAGTAATCACACCTAGTTTAATGTCAGATAGGTGTGGTGGAAGAGATGAGCTGTACAGAGATACTGCAAGCTTTTCATGGTATCTGTCAATATCCTTGATTCCAGCTTTTAAAAAAAAATAATAAAAAAAGTGAAAACAAAACTAAGCTTTTCAAACGTTATCTTCTTATATTTTCAACAGTAATTTGATAATTTTAATTAGGATGTTGAAACTGATCACCTCGAATTATGTCACCAGTTTGGTAATACGATAAAGGATCTCCATGGTTACTGTGAGAAGGCACATCTCTTAAGGGACAAAGAGCCTGCAAAGAGAAGTATTTGAAAACACCATACATTTCACTCAGACCACAACAGTAGCTCCTTTTACCTCAGCTTTTCATTATGACTGGGTAAATCGTCACATGAAAATTAACAACACTAAAGTCTAACACTATTTTCTTTTTAATGAATGCATAATTATACATGTTTACAGGGTAAAATTATATAATATTTACAGGGTGGCAATTCAATGCACATATGCAGTGTATAATTATCCTATTATTTTAGTGTAATAGAAATACAGCATTTGTTGTTTATCTTCGAACTTCCTCATTATAAACTTCAGTCACAGTACTGTGCTCTAGAATACTTTTCCCCTATCTAATGTCACTAAAAATAGGGTCTTTCAGTTCCATTCATTTTGCCACAGATGGCATAGTTTCATTCATTTTGACGGCTTTTATGCATTTACTAGCAGACATGTCAGTTAAACTTAACATCTGTAGTTACAATTTGTGTCCAAACACAATAAAGTTTTTTTTTCTAGTTTTTTTTTTTTTAAATATGGAACGCTTCACGAGTTTGCATGTCATCCTTGTGCAGGGGCTATGCTGATCTTCTCTGTATCGTTCCAATTTTAGTACACATGCTGCCGAAGCGAGCACTGTTTTCTAGTTTTAAGAGTCAAAAAAGACAACAAAACAAAGCTATTTCCATTTGCTAAATGAAATGTGAATTCTCCTTAAGTTTTGTAGTTCTTCCTTTTCAGACAGTGCAACACAGCACTAGCAATGGTTTTAAAGGAAGTATTCTAAATGGAGGCAAACTACTTTGTCACAGTGGAAGAAAGCTGTATGTTGATGGTGAGTATATCATAGGAAGCTTTTTCTAAATTACTCACACGTACACATTAATGTCCAACTATTAAGCATCCATTTAACCAGAAGATAAATGTCCAGGATTCCAATGGACATCATCTTATCAACTAATAGACCTCTATGATTTTAAGAAAACCAGAATCCCCCAAACCCTAAAAAACAAAAGCAAAAAACAAAACAAAACAAACCCCAAAACACTAGTACTTGTTTTTTAGAGACAGAGTTTCACAGAGACCAGCCAGCCTCTGCCTAAGTACATTCATTTCTGAACGGGATGACCACCAAGGAACTTACTGTGATCTCTAAGTGAGATATGTCCCTCATGATGCCACTTCCCAAACAGATCAACACCATGAAAAAACCGAACTCTCGAATAGAGCTGATTCTTCCAATCACTATATCACCACGTTCAATATCTCGGAAAAACAGCTCTCTCCGGTCCAAGCCTGGGATCTCCATGAACTGCTCTAATGGTGGCATGACCGCATAATGATCTGGGAAAAGAAATTCAAAATCACCACAATAATGTCGCCTTCCCTCTCCTTCGCTATACTGCCGAGAACCAAACTATCTTGAAAGCACTCCAGAGTAACTTACTGTCATTGTCGTCATGAACTTCAGAGGATGTAGGCGCATCTGATTTCCAAGACAGTGCAAAAAGCAGGTCTGCTTTTTTGGAGATGAATTTTTGTATTTCTATGTTGTCAACTCTCTTCTCTTTCCTTAAAGGGGAAGACGGGGGATTAAAATTGTTTTACAATCCAAGCTCGAGCTAGTGGCTTTCATCACCCAACCCTCCCCAGAGTTCCATTCAGGCTGTATCTCTGGAGGAAGTTTTATTTATTTCTACTCTTTTGGCTTTTCAATAAGTATTTGTTTAGTACAGATGTGTGGCATCTATATGCCACTGTGCAACTGGGGTCATAGGACAACTCTGGGGACTCCTTTCTTGCCACGTGAGTCCTGGGAATCGAACTCAGGTCAGGAGGTCTGATGGCAAGTGACTTTACCCACTGAGCTCTAGAAGTTTGAAGCCCATTCTCCCACGGTCGCCACTGGGAAATGGGGGCGGGGAGGCTTTGAAAGCTTTGCCAGCGGTTCAGAGGGAGCAAGCCGGCTTTTCTGCCAGGGGCCAGAGCTGGGCCACACACTCCTGCTCTGCACCGGCCCTGCACACGGCCCGGTGCAGGTCACGGTCCCCGTACCTGCCAGCTCCCTGAGGAGGTGCCGCGCCGCGGGCGGGCTCGGCCACCGTGCCTAGGAGGCTCCGGAAGTGCGGGTTGTCTTGCTGCTCGCTCCGCAGCAGCGACAGCAGTGCAGGGCCGTGACAGCCCAGCGACTGTCGCAGCAAGTCGCGGTCCATGGCCAGCCCGCCGGAATCCGGCTCCCGAGCCCGCGCTCCCGCAAGCCGAGAGACTCGGCCGCGCCACGGTAACCTCCCGGAAGCGTTCTCTGCGGCGGGCTGCCACGCTCTCGCGAGACTCAGCGGGACTACGGAAAGCCGTAGGAAACGCGAAGCGTGTCTGGCGCAGAAGGCGGGGTAGGGTTTGAGCTGTGCCTAGTGGGAACGCTTGCCTTAAGCTTGTGCGACACGTCACGACCCTCGGTCCGCAGGGCTCGAGCTCGAGTCTGCGGTTTAGTCAGTCACTCCGCGCCTCCGAGCGCAGTGGGAGCGACGAGTGGCTAAGCAGCCGCGGGGGGGAGGTTCCCTCAGCGAGGTCAGCTGGGGGGCGTGGCCAAAGCGGGGCAAGGAAGGGGGGGGGGACAGGGTGGGCGGGACAAGGCGGGGCGGAGTAGGGAGCGGGGCGGGGGCGGGGCAAGGGCGGAGTGGAGTACGGGGGCGGGGCGGGACAAGGAACGGGGGCGGGGACAAGGCGGGGCGGAGTAGGGGGCGGGGGCGGGGAAAGGGCGGAGCGGAGTACGGGGGCGGGGACAGGGCGGGACAGGGCGCTGCGTGTTCCACCGGAGGACTGTTCAGGTGTTCCGCTGCCCTCCCAGTGTCATAACTGGGCCAAATCGGCGCTCCCAGGAAAGGTGCCTGGTAGACCGAAGGGCCGAAGAAAGACCGGGACCTATCATGAGTAGCAGCCGGAGGTGTGTCCACCACGTACCTTACTGTCTAATTCAAGCCCGGTTAGCGTTAAAGTTCCATGCGCAGGGCCGAGGCTTGCTGCCTCTGCTTATGCTGGCCTCACACTGCAACAGCAGGCAGCAAAGACTAATTCGTTCTTCACTTAAGACCCGCACCCACCGTGGAGGGCCAGGCCTTTTATAGCTACAGGTGTTTTGAATTCATTTCTTCTGCAATAAATATCTTATTTTGAAAAAGACAGAACACTGAATATTTGACCGATCCACAAGGGGTAAATATGGAGTGAGGATTAGCGCCAGGGTTTTCAGGACGGCAGCCAAGGGCGCTATCACTGAACCCGGCTTACAATTTTTTTAAAAAAGAAAAAAAACTCCAGGAAACTTTTAAGAAATATGACTAATTTAATGAACTATAGGGCAGGGGAGCGGGGGAGGGGACACAAGTGGTGAAGGAAATTGCTGAGTATCACAAACATTTTCAGTGTCTGGTTTCTAGGAATACTTTTATTGTGATTTCAAATTTTCATTTCTTACACGTATGCTTATCCTCTAACAAACACCCTAGAATACCGGTTCAAGACTAATCTGTATCACACAGAGAGACCTTATCTCAAGACAAAACAAAAATAACTCTTTAGTTACAAGCCATCAATTCACTTATTTTGGATGAAGTAATAAAAAGGATTTTTTTTTCAAGAAAAAAATGAGGTCAGTTGGAGAACTTCAGGTTTACTATAAAAGTATAATAATCAAAACAGTTTTTATAGGTATAAGATAGGCAGTTCAACGCCTCTGACTAATGAGCCCAGAAATACAATTCTATAAACAACATCAACTGATATATGACAATGAAGATAAATCAGTTGATAAAGATGATCTTTTCAACAAATTGTGCTTCAGTAACAGAACATTCATGTACAATTTTAAAGAAAGGATTCTACGTATAGACTTACACTTTACAAATAAATTCAAATGGATTGTGGATCACAACATTGTGGAAGCCCAAGACAATAACACAGGAGAAAACACAGCTCATGTTGGTTTTAGACACCGCACCAAAGGCATGATCCATGGAGAAACAGTGACAAGATGGACCTCACTGGAATGAATTTCTTTGGGCCTGGACGGATGTCTCAAGCAGTTGAGAGCTCTTGTTGCTTTTGCAGAGAACACCAGATTCTGTTCTCTCACCGACATGGTGGCTCACAATCATCTGTATCACTTCCAGGGGAACATAATGTCCTTTCCTGACTTTCAGGATCACCACCAGGCACACATTCAGTGCAAGTCTATAAACACAGATATTACATATGAAAATCTAAAAATTAAAATGTTCTAACTTACAAAAGATTCCATTTAAAGAATGAAAAGCTAATTCATAAACCTGCAGGAAATGCTAACAAAAGACATATGCAAAGAATTCTTAAAATAATGATGAAAAAGCCAATAAAAATTTAAAAATGAGCGAGACATTAACAGTGTGTCTGCGACCAGGAAGATATACAGAAGACAAATGCACATATGGAAGCATGTACTACATCATATGGTATCAGGGAAATGCAAATTAAAATCACAATGAGGTACCGTTATGAACTTATTAGACCAGATTCCAGAACATTAGCAATACTAACATGATAATACGAAGCAATGGAATTCTCCGCTTGTGGGTGTGACTCCTAAATGGTACAGCCACTTGAGGAAAGTTCTAGTGCTTTTGTACAAATCAAAACATTATTGCCACAAAACCCAGTGATTACATTGAGCTTATTGGTAGCTGAAAACTTATACAGTTTTAATCATATTTATCAAAAATTAGAAACTAAGATGTCTTCCCACAGGTGAGCAGATAAACTATGGTATCAGTAGACAATAGGATACTTATTATTCAGCATTAAGGAGAAATTCGTCATCAAGCCATGAGAAGAAATGAGGAAAGTTAAATACATATTAATGAGTAAAAGAAGCAAATTAGGAAAGGTTACTTACTAAATTATCACAACTAATGATAACCTCTGAAAGGAAAAACCATGGAGACAGCAAAGAATTCTTGGGTTATCAGGACTTTGGGGAAGGGGGAGGGGAATAGACAGCCCGTGGAGCATTTGTTTAGGGCAGTGAAACTGCTCTGTAGGCTAGTGTGATGGTGTTGTGCGATCCACTGGGGGCTTGAAAAGGAAACTAGACAAAGGAGAAAGGAGCCCGTGTCTTTTCCTTGCTTCAGTGTTTGAACTGGGGCATCTAATTTCATCTTCTCCTCCCTTCAGAGGAATAGATGTCTGAGTAGAATCTGAATCGTTCATTTGCCTACAAATTTCAAGATGTCATTATTTTGTACCGCTGTGTAGCACTCCATTGTGTAAATGTGCCACATTTTCTTTATCCATTCTTTGGTGGAGGGACATCTAGGTTGTTTCTAGGTTCTGGCTATTACAAGTAATGCTGCTATGAACATAGTTGAGCTCATGTCCTTGTGGTATGATTGAGCATCCTTTGGGTATATACCCAACAGTGGTATTGCTGGGTCTTGAGGTAGATGGCAGACAAATAGATGGATCTAGAAAAACCCATATTGAATGAGGTAACACAGATCCAGAAAGACATATACGATATGTACTCACTCATAAATGGCTTATAGACATAAAGAAAAGAAAAATCAGCCTATAGGCCACAACCCCGGAGAAACTAGACAGCAAAGAGGACCTTAAAAGAGACATACATGTACGCCTTTAATCCCAGCACTCAGGAGGCAGAGGCAGTCGGATCTCTGTGAGTTCGAGACCAGCCTGGTCTACAGAGCTAGTTCCAGGACAGGCTCCAAAGCTACAGAGAAACCCTGTCTCGAAAAACCAAAAAAAAAAAAAAAAAAAAAAAAAAAAAAAAAAAAAAAAAAAAAAAAGAGACATACATGTATCTAATCTACATGGGAAGTAGAAAAAGACAAGATCTCCTGAGTGAATTGGGAGCATGGGGGTCAAAGGAGAAGGTAGAGGGGAAGAAAGGAGGAAGGGAGGGGGTTGTAGAAAAAAATATAGCTCAATAAAAACCATAAAAAAGAAAAAAAGAATTTGAATCATTGACTGCTCAATTTCAGTCCTGTGGACACAGACTAACTTCACTGGGTCTAAAGCTTACATATGCTATATTGCAGATTTCTCAGTTCCTTTAATCTGCCATAGTTGTGCATCACGTGAGGCAGTTCTTCATTTTATATAGTATATACGAATCTATCTATCTATCTATCTATCTATCTATCTATCTATCTATCTATCTATCATCTATCTATCTATCATCTATCTATCTATAATCTTCAATCTCCAAACACTTGTTTCTGTTATTAGCGAGTAGTTCCAACTATAAGCCACATGATAAAGATTGGTACGTCTTCATTTATTCCAATAATCCCTGTTTGTAAAGGATTCTAACCTCCTTTTCCTATGTCAGAACCCTTCTCTTCTAGAAAGGACATTTAGTCAGTTTAATCCACTTGAGGGTGCTACAAGATCACTATAGTATTCAACTGCGTGTCCATGTTCAAGAAAAACACACACAGCAACTAAACATGGACTCGGGGATGGAGACCTATGACTTTTTAGGACAATTGTCTTTAAAACTGCCTCCATCTTGTAGTGACTGGTGAAGGTGTTGAGGATATTACTTTAATGCAAATAAATCAATACTCTATTGTACATTATTACTTGTTTTGGTATTTTTTGAAGATTTACTTGTTGATTTTTCCTTTCTAGAGTAATATTCACTGGTTTTTGTTTTCATCTAGGCTGAGTAATTTTGAACAGATCCAGAATATGCATAGCTCCAAGGCAAGGGAGCAGAATATTGGCATATTGATATTATTATGACTTATAGGTGATGTGTATTTCACTTCTGGGGAGGCATAGTGTAGGCATTCCAGAGATGCACAGTGCTTGACCTTATGATATGACTGTTGGTAACTCTTTGTAACACAGTCCTTGTATGACATATGTGGTATTCTTGGGGGTGTACAGTGCTTGACCATATGGAGTGACCACCTGAAGTCCCTTTTCAGTATTTCTTCCATGTTTTTCTTTGTTCACACAAGAGACTAGAAAATAAAAGTACATCAGAATAACTCCATCATAATTGTTGGGAAAAATTAAAAGATATGCTCATTACTGATATGGGTTAGGTTAGTATGCTGTTTTAAAATAGACTTATTTGTTACTGTGCATAAACCCACACAAAAATACACACATATTAGATTCTTAAGTTCGTATTTTGTTTTAGAATACTATACCAAAGAACATGTGATGTGTTTAACTAGGAGAAATGGAAAGTAAATAATAAATAGAATTTGTTGTCAAGACATTCTAGATTGCTTTGGTGATCATTTTAAATTCAAACTACACATTGTTTTAAAATCAGAATAATTGAATATTTTTTAGTTATTAAATAATAATTTTTATATCTTATTGTTGACAGCATCAA